GTAGTTAATACTAACTAAGAAGAAGATGGTTTAATTATTTATATAATGAAAGAGGATTGATATTAATTGTGTGATGGAAATTACGGAGAAAACAGGAAGGAGGAAGATTAACAAGCTGGAGAACCCCAGGCCACCAGTATCTTTACACGTAGATTATATGTGAGTTGACTAACTTTGTTTGTGTACTAGTCAACTCATATGTATGTGAGTGATATTTTGTGCACTCCTATTTCTTTTTTGAAAAAAAACGCTTAAGTCATATGCGTTCACTTAAAGTTAAAGTTATTCGCATATTTTATTTAAACACCTCAATTAAGAATTATACCTATTAAACACCTACACAATAAAGAATGGACAAATTACAGAAATCACATATTTTTAAGGCAAAATTACAATTTATCCATTAAAAGTTTATAATTACAGAAATTTCTCAAACGGATACAATAATATAAGCGCTGATAGATTAATCTGATGCGCGAGATACATTAATCGTTAAGTAAGATACATTACATTTTATACATGATGCACTAATCTGATGTACATTTTATACATGATACACTAATTTGATGCACAAGATACACTAATCTGATGCATGAGATACACTAATCTGATGCGCGAAAATGAGGGATTTTGGAGATTTGTAAAATTTATAGGGAATAATGGTAATAAGTAAACTAAAATGTGGATTTATGTAATACATTTTGCTGACATGGCAAATTGTGTGTATTGCACACAAAGAGAGGCGGTAAAAAGACAATTTTTAGCAAAAAAAAACTCCCTCCGTCCCATTTTATGTGGGACCATTTCCTTTTTGGTCAGTCCCAAAAAGAATGTCACATTTTATTATATGGTAAGTATTTAAAGGTACAATTCCTTTTTTACCCTTATTGGTCCCACTTTAGATAGTACTCCAAGACATTTATGAGGAGAGAGAAAAGTGAGTCTACTTTTTAATATGACTATTTTTTTAAGGGGCAATTTGGTAAACATTTCAAAGTCTTCATTTATTTCTTAAACTTCATGCCCGATCAAATATTGCCACATAAAATGGGACAGAGGGAGTAATTTTTTATATCTTCTTCTTCTTTGTTTCCATGAATACTCCCACCACCATTTTGCCATTCCAACCATCCACAACTCCTTCTCCTTTTCTCGATTTTCAACCATTCTTTTTTTCAAGTACACAATTTTATTTTTTTCATCAAATCGATCGTCATTATCCACAAATCTACCATCGTCAATGACCAACTGCATATTCAAATCTGCCACTAAATTTTTCGTCGGAAAAAACAGTATCACCGCTGCCACCATATAATTCACTCCCTTCTTCTTCTCTTTTGTCAAATCGAACCCCAACATTAATTAAATATAAATCTAAAAAAACATAAGAAATACAGAAAGAAAAGAAATTTTGTGAAGAAGATAAAGGGGGATGTCTTTCCTTTGACATGGAATGTTAAGCAGACATCATGACATAAAGACACAAAAAATTAAAATAACAAGCATCTAGTGATCGATCGTTTCCTCACTTTGGTGTTCATTATTTCCGGCAAGATTAATACGAATCTAAAGTTATTATTTAAAATTATTGATGTATTCAAACTCTAAAAAACTCACAATACAAGAACAAGAAAAATATCAATAAAAATAAATTGATGTTTGAAGAAAAAACTCAGATTTGAGGACAATGACAACCGTGTGTGGTGTTTTGGGGAGAAGGGTTCTGGGCTTCTGGCAACTAAACCCTTACTTGACTCCATTTGTCAGTTGAACCCTCCTACCCACCGCTTTATCAACTGAACCCTTAAACTCGTTGAAACACAACATTTTAAATCTCTTTTTTGACTTGTCATCCTATGTGGCATTTTAGTCCAAAATGTGTGTGATGCACACGTTTTGGGCGCGTGAGGGGTTCTGAAAAGGCGATGACAGCCACTTTTGACCTTTATAACAATCATCTTCTTCCCCAATTATTTCAAAACCATTGTTGATCAAATTTTGATTTCCTTATAAACTTCCACTCGATTTTTCTTCTCCAATATTCTCCCTCCACAAAACCTTCTTTTTCTACTTAATCTTCTAATCAAGCCCATAAATTTCAGTGTTCTTTCATATATATATATATATATATATATATATCTCTTCAATTCCATCAACACCAAGAAAAGAAAAGAAAAATGATTTTATTTTTTTTGCAATTTCATCAAATAGCTGAACAAAAATTTATCAATCTCCATTTTCATTAAACACACAAAAAAGGATATAAGCTTTTCTAATTTCATTAAACATCCTAAAAAAAAATCTCCGATCTCACTAAACATCCAGAAAAAAATTGATTTTTTTCAACTTCATCAAACACTCAAAAAAAAAAACTCTCCAAAATTAAAGATCACACGATAATTACTACAAAATTGTTAAATTCTAAAATTTAACATACGCAAGAATTGAAGGTGATTGAGTGATTTCATTAATACCCATTACACTTAACAAAAGTAAAGATTTTTGCACTCCCTTAAAACTAACTATTGCACTAACATACAGATCCAGATCTAAAAACAATGAAAAAGTATAAAAATCATGAAAAACATTTTAAAAAGCAAATTGAGTTGCAATCAAAGTATAATGCTTTAATCAAATGAAAGTTTCACTCAATTATCTAGTAACAAGCTCTTTCAATCATAGTTTTACCATAAAAAATACACATGAAAATAGAGGATTCATAAGTTAACCACATACCAGATTCTTCATCTTCATTCTTTTTCTTTTTTAAAAAAAAAGGATAAAAGAAATTCTTCATATTCATTCATAGATGCAAAGGAAAGAAAAAAGTTAAATTAAAAAAAATGTACCAACAAGGTCCTTTCTTGTTTCAACAAAGAGCTGAAGTGGAATAGGGGTTTTTAGACTTATAATATATAATTTTCTATGTGGCATTTTTTAATGACGTGGAAATTAATGTGTATTTAGTTGTATTACACGCACCAATGAGTCATCCATGTAAGGGTTTCAAATGTCATGTTTCAATGGGTTTAAGGGTTTAGTTGGCAAAATGGTGAGTAGGAGGGTCCAACTGACAAACAGAGTCAAGTACAAGGGTCTCCCAGGTCATTCCTCCAAAGAAGAAAAAGAAAAAGAGGGGTTTTCTTTTTTCTTTTTCTTTCTTGAAATATATTTTTCTTTTTAATTTAATTTTTTAATTGTTATTTTACCCCAATACCGCATGTCTTATTAGTTAATATGACATGTCATTCGCAAGTGTATTACACACACCCTCTCTTTTTAGCTGATTGTTTTAAAAGTGTTCGATAGGTAAAAAAAATATTTATGCAAGTGTTCAATTGGAGCAAGCCTAAAATGAGGTGTCCGAGTGAAATATGCGGATAACTTTAAGTGGCTCTGGATGACTTAAGCCAAAAAAAAAAAGGTTATGCTATGGTTGTCATTCATAATCTAACCTTAAAGTACATGAAACTAAAATTAGATCATATAAATAGATACATGAAATAAATATTAGATCATAAATAGATACATGAAATTGATATTGATCATATAAATAGATACATGAAATTAATACTAGACACATATAACAAATATATGAAATTAATACTAGATACTTCTATGATACATATGAATGTACTTGTATGATACTCATGTAGTGTTTAGTTTGTTGGATACATCATATATTGATAATAGATACATCAAATTAATGAATTTATTATTTTAAGAGTAATAAAATGAAATAAATCAAATTACATGACCAAGATATACATGTTTTTGTCTTTTATTAATAATATTAATGAATTTATTATTTCAAAAAATAATAAAATGAAATTAAGTAAACATAGATACACTCCTTGATTTCCATCTTATATTAAGAGATTTGATTAATTTAATTCTCCAAAATTAAGTCCATTCAGCAAATACATGTATCTCGCGGATTCAAACTCATGTATCCTAAGTATGAAATATGGTAGAGAAAGTAATATTTAAAACTATCGGGAATCTTAGTAATTAGGTACTAAACTAGTGCGGTTTACGTAGTTTGCCCATAAAAATATCAGGTCGCAGGAGCGTCTCATTTTCAGCACTTTTTTTTAATCGAGAAATGATTCTACTTTTCTATCTAAAAAAATGTCTTTTTTATGTCTTTGGGTGAGTGTGGTTGGAATAATTCGTTGAATATATATAACATTTTATGTCAAAATTTAGAGTTGAAATTGACCTGAAAAACGTCACTACGATAATATATACATATATCACTGTATATCTAACATAGATTCTTATGGATATAATAGAAATACATGATATACAGGACATATATGGATATACACAAAAAAATATACACATATATATTAGGAGATATACAACAATATACATCCCCTCAAAAATCCATTCTTATATATCCTCTTTCATACTACATCAAGTTTAATAAATTTTATCCCATGGGTAATACTTTTCACTTTGACCTTGAAGATTTGTTCATAAGATAAACATCGGTCAAAAGTTTAAGATCACACATTTTAAAAATTATTGAGTGTAATTTCCCACATGTTTCTGTCTCAATACTCTTGTGCGAACCTTTATATACAAATGAAAAAAACGAATAAGCAGTGAGATCTTAATTAAAGATACTTAGCTTTGGACATGTTATTTTGAATTGTGATGTATTGGCACGAATGTTACGTAATTAAATTAACTCGTTGTTCAAATAACTATTTGGAAAAATAAATAAATTATATCATACATGAATCTTAAACATGCGAGGGACTAGATAAATCTTAATGATTTTTTCCAACAAAAGAAAAACGAAGAAGAAGAAGTTATACAAGTTACAACAAAACTAAAAACTGAACAAAAAAGTTGCAAACGTAACTTATCCTCAATCGGACATACAAACTAATAAATTCTTCTTTTTTCATGACATCAAAAAAGTAATTATTCAACTCGTTTATCATTTCTTATACCAAGCTTTGAGCCAATACATAACAAGAAATTAAACATATCAAAGTGCTTTCCCAAAATGAATTATACCAATTATTTCTAATATACATAGGCTATATGGTTCAATTAATTTTCACCATATTGTATCTCTTACACTTTGACTAAACAATCTCTACTACATTGGAGGATATAAATGGAGAAAACAAGCAGTAAAAAAATCCAAATTCACACCTATTTTGTGAGCAACTCTTATCGATATCACTAGACAGTAAACTCTGATCTCTTGCATGTTTGACTTATTTCTACGCATCTTTACTATGATAAAATTAACGTAAAACCACACTAACATTTTATTTTTATTTTTACAACCGAGAAGTGGGATCATATCCGTTAGCATGTCCATTCTTTTTAACAATATCAACATCATCTTCATCAACCATAAACCTCTTCCACAACCAATGTTGCTTCCACACCCTCTCCGTCATCTCCTCAATGGGAACATTCTTCGTCTCAGGCAACAAGAAGAAAACGAAGAACGACATAACGAAAATCCACCCCGAAAAGAACAAGAATATCCCATACTTGAAATGACAAAGCATTGAGAGAAATGCTTGTGCCATAACAAACGTGAAGAGCAAGTTAACACACACTGTAACACTTTGACCGGCTGAACGAGTTTCCAAAGGGAACGTTTCGCTAGGAATTAACCATCCTAGTGGGCCCCACGACCACGCGAAAGCCGATACATATGTGCAGATCATAACTATTACGAAGATTCCCCAACCGTGGCTAAGGTTGTTTGAAGTGTCCGTAACTTTGATACCGAGGATTATAGCGATTATTATTTGAGATAGTAACATTTGGACCCCGGCTTCTAGGAGGAGGATTCGTCGTCCGAGCTTGTCAACGGAGTAGACCGAGACTACGGTGGAGAGAACGTTGACGGCTCCGGTGATGACGGCTGAGTAAAGAGCTGCGCTGTTTCCGAACCCTAGTGTTGAAAATAAAACGGGCGCGTAGAACATAATGGCGTTGATTCCTGTGAATTGTTGGAATATCTGTTGCAAAAGAAAATAAAAATGTATTTGTCTATTCCGTAACATATGTGACATTATGTAACGATACAAAATGATATAATATAACACCAACAACGAAAACAACAACAATAACAACAACAAATATCTAGTGAAATCTCACAAGTGAGGTCTGGGAGGTTAGAATGTACGTCGCAGACTTTATCACTACCTCTGTTTCTGAAATACCCTCGGCTCAAGTGAGACAAATTCCGGTATAAAGAAGAAGACAAATGAAGAGAAAATCCAAACAGAAAAAAGTGCAAAAATAGCCAAAAACAACAATAATAAAATCATGTGGTAACCGAAATGTCATAAGCAACATACTATGGTAAATTATTATTAGCAAACAATAATAAAACATGATAAAAACAAGAACTATAATAATACAATATAATACTATAACACCGTTACATTATGAAACAATACGTAACAACCATTCAAACAAAGTGTAAGGACACATACATGTTAGTACTACGAACCTATCTTCCCTTATTTTATTAGTGTGACACAAGAAATTAAGCACAAAATTGAATACTTCATAACCAAGGCATTATGTGAAGAAGTTCAATTAATGGTTCATAATAAGTCAAACTAGTAACTTGAAAAATAATAAACACTTAATTAATAAACTGACCTGGAGGGCAACAGAGATGATCAATTGAGGTCTATTTTTACGTTGGAGTAAATTTCTGAAAGGGTGTTTGACTTCTTTAGCAACACGACTTGCCTCAACAAGTTCCAAGAATTCAGGTTCAATGTTGTCGGTACCTCGGATTTTTCGAAGTACTTCTTTGCCTTCTTCTAAATAACCTCTTTCAATCAAACTGTTTGGGGTTTCTACTACAAATAATGCACCCAAAGTCAACAAGACTGCTGGAAATCCTGCTAACCCTAATGACAATCTCCAACCCCATCCTCCACTAATTCTGCATTAACATCAAATTAGAAATATAAGAAATAGTTAATTAGTAGTCAATTAAAGGATTTATTCTAGCTATACCGTGAAATTTTATCATTTATTTGTCTGAGTTTGACTGTATGTGGGATTTCTGATAATAATGAAGACTTTTGAATATTGTGATTTTAAACTAAAGATTTACTTGATATACCAAAACGTCCTTCAAATATTATAATTGTAAACATGTCACATGAGAATGTGAAACTAAAAAAATTATTAAATACAGAAAATGACATTCATTTTTAAATGGAATAAAAGGAAAATAATTTGAAGCATAAGAAGTAGGAATATACTCCCACAAATACATGTTGATGGTTTAATCTTTTAATGGGTCCACTCTTGTTTGATAGACAATTCAAACAAACAAACAAAAACTTGCATTTATTAGGAGAAAATTTTTTGCCAATATACACTTTTTTTTATTTATCACATAGTGTAGTGGTAGTACTATGGTAGTTGAAAAGAAACAATTCCAGTCAAGTGGATGAAATAAAAACAATAAAGACAAGTACACAAAATATCACACAAAAGTAAATGAAGTGTCAAAATCAGACCCCAATTTTTTCTAATATAAAAAAATAGTCCCTTTGAAAAAAAGAAGAAATTATTAATTAATATAAAAGAGTCGTTAATCAAAGGCTCCAAGTTTTCAATCATGTGGACTACTCATGCAATTTTTGAAGACAAAAAAAATCAAATTAATGACGTTAACTTTTATTTGGTAGGACATCGTGGGTACGCAGTGACTAATATTAGTAATAAACTAGGGCCAAAAAAATTGACTAATGAACATTATTTTCAGTAAATTATAGGTAAACAAGTTACACGTGTAATCTTTATATATACTCCAATGTTAATAAAAACAAACATTTTTATTTATTTCTCAATTGGAAGTCAAGATCACATAATTGAACGTCATAATAAAATAAATATCAGATGCGAGTAAATTATTTTTCCCGAGAGGGGGAGAAACTTACTTGGCTGTTCCGTAGTTAACGAGGTTGGCAAAAAGAATACCAATAGTTACGTTAAGTTGGAACAAAATGTTAAGTCCTCCACGAATTCTTGTTGGTGCTATTTCTGATAAAAATAGTGGAACTGCCTGAAAATATTCATGCACATTAAATTTTAATTTTGAGATAAATAGAAGACAGAAAAATTTGGAAAGAATTTTTCATAAAATTAAATAAATTAATAAAATCAAAAAATTACTCAAATAAAATATTGAAAGAGCTTTCTCGTATAATCTCCATATGATAAAAAGGATTTTTTTTTCTTCACGAGTGACTTGCAAATCCTTTTTAAATAAAGTTTTATTTTATCAGATTCTTAAGAGGACACTCATGTGGAACATGTTAATTAACTTTAAGGTTTCTTTTAGTTAATGAAATGGATAAGATAAAAATAAATGTATTGTTCCTTTGGGAGCAAGCACACTTAAAAGTACGTGTATTATATGAAATATCACATGCATTTATCTTTAAAAAAACTTACTAACCTAAAAATATACTAGTCATATTTGACCCCTCAAGCTATCGTGTCAAAAATAGTAAACGTAACGGGTGAAAGGATAAGGATAAAAATAAATTAAGGTAAGTGGACAATGGACATCTATCAAAAAAGTAAAAGTGAGAAGTGATGGGCAAATGAATAAAGTTAGTAATTAAAATCAAAGAAAATAGCTTTGTAAAGTGGGAAAGTTACAAGGAAGCTGCCTATGGAGGACTTTTCTGGACAAAGACAAACCTTTCAGTCTCCACCTAAACTTTATTTATTTTCTTATAAAGTATGATTCTATAGGAGTCTAACTCACATGTGTAATACAAACAAAGTCCCTGACCCAAATTATTTAAAGCAAGAAAACAAAAAAGTTGGAAAATAGCTTTGTGAGATTTGGACTTGAAGAATTATATATACTCCCACTTTTTTAATTTATTTTTTTCCGGACACCACAAAATTAAAGATTCATTATTTTTTTAAAAAAAATTGATATTTTTTTAAACTTCATATCAATCAAAACATGATAAACAAATTAAAACGCTATAAATATCAAAGGTAGATCTTTCTCACCTACCCACCCACCCCCCTCAGTTGTGGACCCCGACGTCTCCCATTTTCCACAACATGGCCACCGTGGTATATGGCCGACCACAACTTCCGATTGTGACAAAAAAAAATTATTAAAAATAAGATATTCTTAAGTAGAGCAATCATATAAAAGATTCATGTGTAATTATTTTATTTCACACTCAATATTTAATATCTTTAAAAATATCTGATTAATCTTTAATCAATAGTACGCTATATATATACTACTTGTCTAATACCCAAAAAATAGGGACAGTTTTCTAAGAGAGGAAGTCTAATATACCCAACCAAACTATAAAAGAGAAAAAAATATATATTAAAAAAATACTAGCGTGGTCCTTGCACATGCAATGAAAATTGTATTAGGCCATTAGCCTCTTTATTTTATTTTGTATTTTGAACTATTAACGTTATATCATTATCACCCATCCCTTGTTGAGGGTTAGGTGGATTGAATTTAAGTTATAACTAGTGTAGAGCTTGTACATACCATACTCATTTATTAAAAAAAAAAAAAGATTAATGTTCTTGTATCCATTTCCAAAACGTATTTACTATAGCAGTCAAAAAATATTCAGACAAACGAGAATAATTAAGGACCAACCTGATTGCCGAAACCAACGCCACAACCAAGGAGAATTCTTCCAATAATAAGCATAGCTAAATCTTGAGCAGCAGCATTTAGTATAACTCCGACGATGAAAAAACAACCGGCGATTAACATAGTTAATCTCCGACCAAGTTTTCTTGTCGTGTAAGAAGCGAAAAACGTGGCCGTTAAACCGGCTAGATATAAAGATGAAGTAAATAATTGTAGGCCTTGATTATCGTATTTGCAGTAATTACTGTCTAAACCTTTTTCCTTTGTTCTCTTGTAAACCGTTGGGAAGAATTTTTGTAAAAATGGATCCATTGATGTAACACCACCTGTATTTTTCAACAACAAAAAAAACATTATTAATCGAATTTTTTTTAATAAAGTAATTCATATGTTCTTGATTTTTGATATGTTTTATTTGCGACACTGAATATGTTAATGTTATTGTTGTTGTTAGATCATTCATTATAAGTTGATTTTATAAATATTCAAAAAAAAAAAAAACAGTTTCTAGAGAGTTGGGAAAATCGCACTTGGTCGGAAAAGTTTAAATTTTTTCTTTTTCTTTTTGTACGAAAAAAGGTAGTATTTTTTTTTTAAAAAAAAAGTTTTTAAAAGCAATATTGCAGATTTTAGAAAGATTCAACCAAGTATGACTTTGGTCAGCATTAATTTAACCCATAAGGGTAAAAAGGGGAAAAAACAGAAAATTTAGCTTTTAAAAATATATTCCAACGGCTTTATTCAAATTTACATTATATATAAAAGAAATTTTATGTATGTACGTAAATATTGAATTTCTTTAATTTATTTGTACTATTTTATATTTCAAATCCACTTACTAAAAATCTTAATTTTGATACTGTTTAAATTGCACAGTGTTTTATATATACTCTATCGAGTAGATTCAGAAACAAAGAAAGGAAAAACTTTTAAGATTTATAGGAAGCTAAAAAGTGTTCAAGATTTTGTAACGTCATGATCATCATCATAATATAAAGATGGAAACTAAAAATAGGTTTATTAAAAGCAAAAAATAAAAAGCGATTATAATAAAAATATGAAGTACTAATATAATTTAATTACCAGAAACTCCAATATCATAACCAAACATGAGTCCTCCAGTAGCAGCCATAATACAAGAAATGATAACAATTGGTGTGATTTTAGCCTCGAAATGTGTGCCTCCATTACCGGAGGTCGAAAATCCTCCACCGGCCATTGTGTTACTAAGTTTTCCGGCTTCAAATGTAGTAGTTAATAAGAAAAAAGAAGATAATTTGTTATATAAGAAAAAAATGTAATGAAAGAGTTTGATATTTTTGTGTGATGAAATTATGGGGGCTATATATAGAGTAATGGGAAACAAAAAGAAAGAGAATTAACAAAGATGGAACCCCACGCCACTAAGTAGCTTTACACGTGGAATATAAATGAGTTGACTATATTAGTTTGTGAATATTATTTATTAAAAAGGTATATAGCAGTAAAAGTTTCTTGCTAGACGGCTGTGTACTAGTCAACTCAAACGTTTGTTAGTTTTTAGAAAATAATGTTCACATAACACATATGGTTGGCGCGACTATTGGGTGTTTGGGATATTAAAAATGTTCGGAATGGATGAGATCTATCTATTTTTATCGGATGTTTAGTTTTTTGAAATAGTGTTTAGATTGTTATGATTTTCATGCGAATGGAAACATAAGCCTTGTTGTTTATTGAGGCTTTAATCAGTCATCAAATCATCATGTGATCAGGTTACCAACTTTATCAATCTTTCGAATTGGATAGACATTATCAATTCTCATATATGATCTTACGACTTTTCATAGATTTGTGTTTTTGATAAACAATTGTTCGTGAAGAGGCATAATTCCGAGTTACTGGGCTTACAAATGGAGAAACTCCTAGTAAGGAGCATTTTTCCCCTTTGATTGATTTTACGCTAATAAATTTGGATTATTCGGTTGACGGTAATTTTTTTCTTTTTAAGAAAATTGGGTAGGGAAAGAAGAAACGAGGGAGGAGGGTATAAAGTGGGAATTGAATCCTCACCAATTACCAACAAGGTGAAATTAGTTTAGATATCTGAGTTACCAATATTAATTCCATGTTGATAGTAAATTTCGATTAATAGATGATTATAAATAAATAAAAAATTGAGAGAACAAATTTTGAAATATAATATTGATATGTGTTTAAGAAAAGTAGTTTCCTTTAGAGCTAAAGAATACTAAAAGCAAAAATACACTTTTCGTAAAACATTGATATGTGAATAAGAAAAAAAAAAGACTAAACAAGTGGATAATTAGGTTATCCTGTCGTGTAGCACAAATTGTACGTTATTTAATAAAGCTAATGCAACTTTACAGAGTATCCAATTGTTTTGGACTTTCTTTTAATCAAATTGCCAACGGTCTAATTATGCCTCCAAAAAAAGAAAAAGAAAAAGAGGGTAGGTAGTATATAGTATATACTGTACATATAAACAACTGCATATTTTATAATCTTTTTTAAAAAAATTTTAAAATTATTTATGTAAACTCGGTATAATTCCACATATGGAATTTCAGGAGGATAATGTTTACGCAGACCTTATTCTTATGTATGTTGTAATGACAAAGAGATTGTTTCTGATAAATCTCCAGCTAAAAGAAAAAGGTACAAGACTACATTATCTATTAATCTCATGGTTTTCTATTTTGTTTATTTGAATTTAAAGGGAAAAAATTATGAAACAACCCGTGTTTTCCTTTCCCAAAAATAAAAAATAAAAAATACACGTACCATGTTACTAATTATTATCCTAATATAATTAACGTAGACTCTGAAAGTTCATTTCGTGATTTCTTAGAATATTAGGAATTATGTGACCCCACATGATATATTGCGCATTACCAGGCCTAATAAAATAACAAATTATTAATTTTAATTCTGAATGGTTAATTTCTTCTTATAATATTAATTAGTAGGAATTATTGGACCTCACATGATCACATGAAATTTTCGTAAATGTAACAATAATTTGGCCATATATAACAACAGTGACGAAATTTTCACCTAATTATGACAAATTAGGTAAACGAAATATACGTGGATTTTGAGAAGATTAATTAGAGAGGATAATTAAATAAATTCGGAATTTCTTCGAAAAGTTAAAGTGTATGTCGTTAAAAACATAACAAAAATTACGAAAAGAAATAATACTAACCCTCCCTAGAAAATTGAACTAACAATTGTCCTTATTCAAAGAAAGAGAATTTTTAGAGGGTTACTCAAAAAAAGGGAAATTATGGGGATAAGTAAATATATACTAGTTAATTGGCTAATATAGCTATAGTTTGAATTGATTATCACCCGTAGCCCTTTTTTAGCTATAATTGTGTGTGCCTCTCTCCTCTCTTCCTCTCTCTCTCTCCTCTCTCCTCTCTTCCTCTCTCTCTCTCCTCTCTCCTCTCTTCCTCTCTCTCGCTCCTCTCTGATACATATATAAATACAAATTATACATATACATATACAATTATACGATAGATATACAAATACAAGCCGCCTCTCTCCACTCTCTGTCCTCTCTCGCTCGCTTCTCTCAACTCGTTCACCAGATATACAAATGCATATGTATACCAGTTACATATATACAATTATCTAACATATATACATATACAATTCGACAGATATACAAAGACAATTCACCTCTCTCTACTTTTTGCCCTCTCTCGCTCGCCTCTCTCCTTCCTCCTCCCTCTCCCAATCTCGCTTGTCTTTCTCCTCCCTCTAACATGTACCTACGAATCATAATCAGCAAACTATAGCTACATAGCCTCATTAAGTTCTTTTTAGTGGTTATTAGTGCAATTTCCTCTTTAAAAAATGTACCATTTATTTTTAGTTATTAAGATATTTTGATAGTTATAGTCTTTGCATTATTTGGTTAAGCACAATAAACTTTCATTTAACATCCTTTTATATATTTAGACTATTTTTATAGATCTATTTCAACATCAAATATAGAGTAAACATACATATTTAACGTAACAAATTGATAATGAAGTGGTTTAGTAATAAGTGGTTTAATCATTACTAAAAAGACACTATTTTCATTGATATTTTTCAGTGTGAGTGGTCATTCCTACAAATATTTTTGATTGAATTAGTAAGGAAAAAAATAGTATTATTTTCTAAAAGCTACTCAGTTTCTCAATGAGAATTTATTTTCCATCATGTGCTTTTTCAATGAGCTGGTTTGATAGAAAATGAATGGAAGAATAATATTTTATAATAAAAATTAGAATAATCACGACGGAAAACCTTTTTTTTTCTAATAGTGACTATTTTGTAATTTTTTAAATTTGTGAAGATTCACTGTTAAAAGGATTACAAGTTCACATGTTAGTAATTAAAAATTAAATATAATTACCTTTGTAATGAATTACAAGAACAAAAATCATAATCGATCAATACTTGGTTTTAAGAATAAAAGCATTGTTCATCCGTTATTTGTAGAACAAAATTAGGAATGTTCACCTTTGAGATATCCTTATTTATTTTTAATCCTTGCACTAACAAATCTTTGTAAATTTAATAAACTTTCAAATATAAAACCATGTAAATGCTCTAATTTCATCTTAAAGAAAGGTAATAGTGATACTTCTACCTACTACTTATTTTATACAAATTAAAAACCCGTTAAATTTGTGAATAGTATTTTTCTGTGTAGGAAATAATTAAAAGTCCACGACTCTATTAATTGAAAGTTAAATTTTATCAAGAAAAATATCATGAGTACTAAAACACAATTTGCAATAATTAAAGAACCAAAATTACAACTCTCTTTAAAGAATTATTTTTAATTAATTCATTCATATTCATATTGAAACGTAGAATCAATAACTATATATGTTTATTGATCCACATGTAACATACAATAAGTTCTTAAGATTAGTTCACATAGAAATCAATTAGTATATTTTATAGTAAAGTATAAATATTGTTATACATAAACAAAACAAATAAAAAGATTCGTTAAAAATATTAAAACATGATATTTATTATTGTTAATCGAATAAGTGGTTGGGGACACCCTTATTGAAGAACTCAAGATCCTTGAAATAAGAATATGATATAACAACTACAAAAAAAAATATGATATTAATTTCTAGCCATGATTTAATTTCTATATGACCGCTGGATTTTTAATGACAACATATCTTTTTTTTAAAGAAAACTGATAGGGCAGCCAGCCAAGAAACTGTTAAATTAGGTCTTAGACCTAACTCACACCCCAAAAGTTAGCTCAAAGGGAGGAGGATTGTCCAAGCCTTATAAGAAGTCCACTCATCTCATTAACCACCGATGTGGGTTTTGTCATTCTTTAACACCCCACCTCACGCCCAGTGCTTAGCATCTGGTGCGTGGACAATTTTGATTTTGGGGCCCCAATATCTGGTGAGACGGGCCCTGCTCTGATACCATGTTAAATTAGGTCTTAGGCCTAACTCACACCCAAAAAGCTAGCTCAAAGGGAGGAGGATTGCTCAAGTCTTATAAGGAGTCTACCCATCTCATTAACCATCGATGTGAGACTTTTGCCATTCTTTAACACCCCACCTCACGCCCAATGCTTAGCATCTGGTGCGTGGGAAATTTTTGATTTTGGGGGCCCCAACATCAGGTAAGACGGGCCTGCTTTGATACCATGTTAAATTAGGTCTTAAACCTAACTCACACCCCAAAAGCTAGCTCAAAGGGAGGAGGATTGCCCAAACCTGATAAGGAGTCCACTCATCTCATTAACCACCGATGTGGGACTTATGTCATTCTTTAACAGAAACAACAAATTCTCTTTCTCTTTTTAATAATCTCCCAAAATATTTTTGATTTAGGACTAAAAAAGAACAATAAAGTTTGTCAATTCCGAATTTTCCTCTTTCTTTTACTTTTTTCTTCTCGAATGCACCACCTTAGAACTAGACATGAAAATTATTTACCATCTAAGCAACTCCTTCTTGTCATTTCAATTCCTCCTTACAATAATGACTACTAAATTTTTTCAATAATAATGATTACATCTCAATCCAAACAGGTTAAGATATATTTGGGTTCTAAATTTCTAATCTCTCCTTCAATATTTTTATTTATTTTTTTTGGAATATGGGTAAAAATGAATCCACAAAACAGTCAATTTTCTGACCCTTTTCTTTTTTGACTGAAGGTCAAAATTTCAGTTTTAATTAAGTAGTTTAGTCAATTACATTATCTTGTGCCTACTTATCTGAGCATTTAATTAACTTCAAATTCTGCTAAAATTGACTACTACTTCATGTTG